CCCCACCCCCACTCACCCTCCCCCCCCACAAAACCCTCCCACTTCCAGACCCGCTCTGCCTGGATAGTTGAGAACCTGGGAAAATGCCGGGATTGTCATGGAGATGGTGTCTACTGTGGAGGCATGAATAGGGACTTCAAGAGGCTGAGGCTGAGGCTCACCACACCTCCACCTGAATCCTTTCTCTGAAGGTAGAGCACTTAAACAGGCACAGTGAACCCCATCCCTCGGGGAGTTTATGTCCCTATGCAAGGGGAGATAGGCCATCAGTGGGGAACAGACAAGCAACTTCATGGTTGTTGGTGATAAGTACGATGTGGGAAATTAAAGCAGAGTAAAGACTAGAGGGTGATAGGAGGTCTATTTTAGCCAGGGTGGGCAGGACAGGTGTCTCTGAGGAGTAGGGACACTTTATAGGGACAGGCATTCCAGGCAGGGCAAACGCCCTGAGCCCAGAAAGAGCAAAGAGGGCGATGTGGCTGGGACAGAGAGAAGCAAAGAGGCGAGGAATCGTTTGGTGGGGGCAGGGCGAAGAAGGGGGTGGAGGGGTGGGAATCACCGGAGGGTATCCAGGCGAAAGTGACATGATGTGATCTCTAGGTGCTGGAGACCTGATGGGAAGCGGGAGAGCCAATGAGAACGTGGTTGTCGTGGGACTGGCATCCAGAGTGCAGGTCTGACTCAATTAGCTCCAGGTCCCGCTCCCTGCCATGGAGCCTTGTTCCCAGCCAGGACAGCGCCGCCCAAGACCCCTCTCTTCCCTGGACCGGCACTGCTCGCTCCCTGCTGCCGCCTGGGTGTCCCCTGCATCCAGCAGGGCCTCCACACGGGTCTCCCAGGAATTTCTCTAGAACACTAATCGGATCATGTGACTCTCCAACTTAAAACCTTTTCAGTGGCTTCTCAGTTCACTCAGAATGTGTCCTCCTTTCAGCCTGGACCCAAAGGCTGCACACAGTGGTCCGCGGAGTTCTGGCCTCCCTCTGCCACACTGGCCACCTCTGATGCCCCAATCCAAGGCCCCAGATGTCCCCCAGGACACGATTTCTATCTTCCCCACCCCACACAACATGCTGCTCTCTCTGCTTGAAATATTCTTTCTCACCACCTTCATTCCTCAATTACTTTAAAAAAAAAATGAGTCTTTAAAATTTGGATAATTTTAACACACACATCCTAGATATACACTCAAAGTAATTGGGAATAGCTGTTCAAACAAAAACGTAAGCACAAATGTTCACATCAGCAATATTCACAATGGCCAAAAGGTAGAAACACCAACCAACAAATAAACAAAATATAAAATGCCCACACTGAAATATTATTCAGCCATGGACAGGAATGAAGTACTGACACGGGCTAAAACATGTGTGAATCTTGAAAACATTACACTACGTCAAAGAAGCCAGTTGTAAAAGCCCACATATCTTTGACTCCATTGGTATGTCCACCATAGGCAAACTCACAGAAAGCTGACTATTGGTTGCCAGGGGTTGGGAAGGAAAAGGGAATGGGGAGTGACTGCTTTTGAGGTGATGAAAATGTTCTGGAACTAGATAGTGGCATAGTTATGCAACATCTTGGATATACTTAATGCCACTGAATTATATACTTTAAAATGGTAAGTCTTATGTTACGTGTATTTTACCCAATAAAAAAAAATCCACCCACACACATCCATGTACTGACTCCTGGCTTTGAAACTTTAGAGGTACACCTCAGTCTCCATAAGCCCATATGGGATCTGATTGTCGCTCCCTTCTCAAAGGTAACCCCTATCCCAAATTTAATGCTGTTATTTCCATGGATGTGTTTAGACTTTTACTCCATATGCACATATCCTTTAAAAAATAGTATTATTGACCATGTGCTTTTTTTTTTTTTTTTTTTTTTTGACCATGTGCTTTTAAGTATGTTCCTGGCCTCATCACTTCTCCCATCTCTTTGGGAAACACAAAGATTTACTGAGATTCACTCGCTTTGAAGTACCTTTTAGTACCTCACTTTGCTACTCTCTAAAATGGGGGAGTCATGTTTCCCACTTGATAAGGTGATGAAGAACAGGTGAGCTTGTATTTGTCAAGCCCTAACAAGTGTAAGCTATGACTTACATTTTATTTATTTTTATCACCCACCCATGTCTTTTTCCTTTACTCCTTTGAGTATGGGACACATTCCTATGGTTTCAAGTTCAAAAATACAAAAGGTTAGAATGTAGTAAGCTTCATGCCTGGGAGTTGGACAATGTTGCTAGTTCTCTCTATCTTCTTCCAGGTCTCCCAGATACAATCCTCTCATAAGCACAGAGAAAACAGGCTTCAGGCTGTTCTCCACCTCCAGTTTCTTCTCTCCATCACATTATCAGTTGGAGCCTTTCCATGTTGTTACACAGCGAGCGTCTTCATCTTTTCTTAACAGACACAGCATTCCACTGGGTGGATCAATCATGACTTATTACTCAAATCCCAACCATTGGGGGTTTAGCTCATTTCCAGCCTTTTGCAGTGATGTGCAAAACTGCACTGATTAAAACCTGGTACATATCCTTTTGCATGTTTCTGAGCACATCTATCTGACAGATAAGTTCTTGGAATTGCTCGATGGATAAGACTTTAAAATTTTACTTGCCCCAGCCATGTACAAAAGATCCTGTTTCCCACATTCTCCAGGAGGGTGATTGGATCTGTGTCTGTTTGCTTCTTCCCTTACAACCTGACCTACCTGTAAACAGGGTCCAATGACCTCTGTCTTTGCCATTGTGGCTTCAGCACCAAGGACACATCCAGCTCATAGTAGGTGCTCAGTAAATATGGATGGCTTAGGATCCAGCAAAAATATATGCAAAGTTGTCCTACAGTAGATGCTTGGTAAACACTGGTTGTTTAGGATTGAATGAATAGATGTAGGGCTTATCACTGGGAAGAAACTAAGGCTCAGAGAAGAGCAGCCAAGTGAAGGCTGGAGTCAGATTCTAGCTGAGTGCCAGTACTTTCCCTGAAGCCTATGTCATTGCTTCATTCAGCTCCTCCCCCAGCCACCCCACCCCACCTAACACAGTGCCTGGCACAGACGGGACCTGATAAATGTGCATTTGTTGAAGGAATGAATGAATATGTGTGTGTGTTTCGAAGGGAGGGGAGCTGGACCCAGCCTCATAGGCCCCCAGCCCCCTCCTCCCTTTGGGAGCCCAGAGGACAGGCCCCCAGCCTCCTCCTGTTACGGGACCCAGGAGTTCTAGCAGAACTCCCTCCCCGCCCACTGAGTTCCCTCATCCTCCTGCTTCCGGCTTCCTAGCCAGTCTTTCCTCTCTCAGGCTGGTAGAAAAGGCGGGTTTCCGGAGGGAAGACTTAGGCGGTGACACCGAGCCCAGCCTCCTCCACCACCACCCCCCACCACCACCACGCTCAGGGCCCTCCCTCCCTCCCCGCCACCACTGTCCGTCGGCCGGCTGTGGGGAAGGAAGAAAGGCATAGAGGAGGCCAAGGTAAGAACTGAATGCCCAGCGATCAGGGCCGAGTCCAGACTCCAAGCTCAGGAATCCGCAAGGCCCCCACTGAGGCCCCAATTTTGCAGGTCATGCCTGGGGTCCCAGCAGTCTGGGCCCAGCGAGAAGATCGGCCCCCTGGGGGACCTAGGGACCCCCAGCAGCCTTCCCATGGTGGGGGGCGGGGGTCCAGGGGCTTGTCCCTCAGTCTCCTTCTCTCTGGAGAATTCAGGCAGCCGGGCCCCCAGCCCCCTCCTCTCCCTTGTCTAAGAGCCCAGCCCCCTCCCTCAGCTGTCCCCGCTACACCGCTGGGACCCAAGAATCTGTACCCTCTGCATATACGGGTCTAGAGCCTGCATCCCAGACCTTGGGACGCAATCCCCAGCCCCCACCTCCCTCAGTCTCAGGTGTCCGGGCCCCCCGGCCCCTCCCGGCTCAGACCCAGGAGTCTGGGTCTCTGCTTCCACTCTGGCCTCTCCCAGCCCCAGTATTGGGGCACCCACACCCCATTTCCGGGGCCTCTGAATTCTGACTCCCGCCCCCTCCCCTGCAGCCCCTCCCAGCAGCAGGGCCCTGGAGAAACAGCAGCCACTGACTTGGTCTCCCTCCATCTCCCCTCCTGTCCGCATCTATCTCATTTGGTCTCTCCCGACCGCCAATCTTCTGCTCTGGTTCTCCTGATCTCCTTTTGCACTGTCTCTGCCTAATTCTCTTTGTTTTCTTTTTCATCTCTGTCTCTGTTGGGTGTCCCCGTCTCTCTGTCCTGCTCTCTGTGGCCTCCCATCCTGTCTTTCTGTTTCTCCTGGTCTCTGTCTCTCATGTCCCTCTCTGTCTCTCTCTTCCTTTCTCTGGCTAAACATCTGACCCTCTGCACCTCCATCTCTCTGTCTCTCCCCTTTCTCCTCACAGGCATGGATCCGCAGCCCCCTCCACCCGCCCAGGGCAGCCCACCTCACCGTGGCCGGGGCCGGGGCCGGGGCCGTGGCCGAGGCCGGGGTCGAGGCCGAGGCCGGGGCAGGGGGAACGCTGGAGCCCCTCGGGCACCTCTGCCCTGCCCCACCTGTGGTCGCCTTTTCCGCTTCCCATACTACCTCTCGCGGCATTGGCTGAGCCACTCGGGCCTGCGACCCCATGCCTGCCCACTGTGTCCCAAGGCCTTCCGCCGACCTGCCCACCTCTCCCGCCACCTGCGTGGCCACGGGCCCCAGCCCCCGCTGCGCTGTGCTGCCTGCCCCCGCACCTTCCCGGAGCCCGCCCAGCTGCGGCGCCACCTGGCCCAGGAGCACGCGGGCGGCGAGGTCGAGCTGGCTATTGAGAGGGCAGCCAAGGAGGTAGCCGAGTCCAGCTGGGCTCCCCAGGACGAGGGCACAGAGCAGCCCAGCACGGCCACCACGGGTGCCCCAGAGGAGGCAGCGTGGCCCGAGACGTGGCCCACGGGGGAGCCGGCCACGCTGTCGGCCCCCACGAGCGCCGAGCCCCGGGAGTCGGAGTCAGAGGAGGCCGAGGCCGGGGCAGCGGAGCTGCGGGCCGAGCTGGCTCTGGCGGCGGGGAGGCAGGAAGAGAAGCAGGTCCTGCTCCAGGCCGACTGGACGCTGCTGTGCCTCCGCTGCCGTGAAGCCTTCGCCACCAAGGGCGAGCTCAAGGCGCACCCGTGCCTGCGCCCCGAGGGCGAGCAGGAGGGCGAGGGGGGGCCCCCGCCCCGCCCCAAGCGCCACCAGTGCTCCATTTGCCTCAAGGCCTTCGCCAGGCCCTGGTCCCTGTCCCGCCACCGGCTGGTCCACTCCACCGACCGCCCCTTTGTGTGCCCGGACTGCGGCCTGGCCTTCCGCCTCGCCTCCTACCTCCGCCAGCACCGCCGCGTGCATGGCGCTCTCAGCCTGCTGGCCCCGCTGCCCTCCGCGGGCAAGAAGGACGACAAGGCCTCTGGCGGACGGAACTCAGGGAAGGGGCCCGAGGGGGGCGAAGGGGCTGAGTGCGAGGCTGCCCGGGAAGGGGAAGAAGGCGGGCAGAATGGAGGCGACGCGGCTCCCGCCCGGGCCCCCACCGGGGAGCCCCGTTTCTGGTGCCCAGAGTGTGGCAAAGGTTTCCGGCGCCGGGCGCACCTGCGGCAACATGGGGTGACCCATTCAGGGGCGCGCCCCTTCCAGTGCGTGCGCTGCCAGCGCGAGTTCAAGCGGCTGGCTGACCTGGCCCGTCACGCGCAGGTCCACGCAGGGGGCCCAGCCCCGCACCCGTGCCCGCACTGCCCGCGCCGCTTCTCGCGCGCCTACAGCCTTCTTCGCCACCAACGCTGCCACCGCGCGGAGCTGGAGAGGGCAGCTGCGCTGCAGGCACTCCAGGCCCAACTGCCTCTGCCCATTGCACACATCAAAGAAGAGCCACCCTCCCCGGGAACCCCACCGCAGTCGTCGCCGGCTCCCCCTGTCTTCCTCAGCGCCTCCTGCTTCGACAGCCAAGACCACTCGGCTTTCGAGATGGAGGAAGACGAGATTGACAGCAAGGCGCACCTCTGTGGATTGGGTGGCCTGGCCTCCTGACCCTCAAACCCACACTTGGCCCCTCCAGTTGCTCCCCCGCCCCCACCCCGGTTT